TATATATTTATTATGGATCGGACATGCACGCTGCAACATGACTTATAGGCTTTATTATTATATGGATCGGTGTTGCACGCCGCAGCAGGCCTTATAGGATTTATTGTTATGGGATCGGGCTGCACGCCACAACAGGCCTAAATGGTTTATTATAGCACTTGGGCTGAAGGAGCCCATTCGGAGTCTACACCCCCCTCCCCCACAGTGAGCGCAGTTGATATTATGTTGAGTGATGGATCTTCCCCGTACAATACTGAGTGATTGAGTAATCTAAGAGTGCGAGTACGTGAGATTTTTCATTATGTTGTATCACATATGACATGTACATTGGCATGTAGACATAGAGATGTCATATTCCTCATATCATTGAGATTTTGATCTATTTTTCTTGTATTGAGTTTAACTGTTGAACTTGAAAGCATGCCTATATTTTTGTACTCTTATTTTTTTATGATTGGACTGTAATTGTTGAGCTCGTCATTACTTTCATCCCAAAGGTTAGTCTTGTTACTTATTGAGTACATTGAGTCGGCTGTACTCATACTACACTCTACACTTCGAATGCAGATCCAGGTACTTCCAGATACGACGGTTGCTAGATTTTTGGAGATTTATCTGTTGGAGACTATCGTGGTAGCTGCTTGGCGTCCGCAGACATTGACTCTCTTTTCTATCAGTTATTTGTATTATTCTATATTTTCAGATAGTATTTCATTTTGTATCACAAACTGTGGGATTTTACTCTTAAATATATTTATTGTGTTTTCAAACTTAAAGGAATTGTGGTTTATTTAGGTTGTCGGCTTGCCTAATATTAAGATAGACGCCATCACGACATGTGAGATTTTGGATCGTGACATATGCACACAATCACGACTAAACGTAATGTTATAGACTATATTGATGATAAGAAATGGTACTTTGTAACCTCTTTAAAGAAGGAAAGATGAGTCTATTATGGCATTAAAAGGACGATGAAATACCACTTGAATTATTAACAACAAAATGTTCCAAAAGCGACGACACAGATTTCTCACATTGTCTTAATTTTATCCCAGAATTCATAATTTCACCTTAATAATGCTAAGCTCTTATTCATTGTTTATTTAAATCTAACACCAGATATCTGATAGAGACAATTGAAAGCACGGTCTCATTCAAAGCTTGCACGATAAAGCAAACATAAACGACATAAATTATACCATGGTATTACTAATATGAAGATCATAAATTGCTTAATAGTGATACAAAGCACACTTAATTCATTTCAATGATACATACACAATAATAATTTATTTCAATTATGTATAAAGTCATAGTTTGTGCACTGACTGCATTAAGTAAGATAGCAAAAACTTATCTTTTTAGGTTGACGGTACCTGTAACTATAATTCAGAGTTCCTAAAAATAACAACAACAAATAACTTTATTATGACAATAGTTTGTCTGTAATATTGAATAAAAGAATGTGCAGTAACATGTTCAGTTAGGAAGTTACAAAGCTAGGTGTAATAAACGGTTAATCTTAATCAATACAACTTAGTAGTTCAGAAAATATTGAATACAACAACATTTCATCTCTATACAAAAAAGCAAATGCAGTCACCTTTTGTTTCGCTTGTATTAATTTATTAAATACTGTAAAAAGTATTCGACCCAGGAATATGATTATGTCACAGCAGTCCATTTGATCGACAAATAATGAAGAGAGAATTAGATAATGAATTGGCGACGACAACCATTCCTTCTCCTTTTTAGTATGTACTCTGTTATATATCTAAAGGCATAAGCTCAGAGTTCCAACGGAGGAGCATCATAAAAAAAAATAGCCTATATGAAATCTAGAAGAACAACAAAGCAGAAATCAAATTTCAACGACGAATGTTTATAGGTAATCCTTTCGCGGTAGTAGAAAGTTGAAGTGTTGACACATAACATGCATAGATCTTGTGTCTGAAATGTACTACAATCAAGACATCTTTTCAGCTGATGACAGATTTAAGAAATTACCAACTTGAAAATTCACATCAACTTCAAGGAGTATGAATTAGCATAAATGAGTAAGACCGAAGAGAACCGGAAGAAAAAAAGACATCTACCACTAACTCCAACTATAAACTGGGAAGATAAAAGAGAAATGGAAGAAATTTTGGCAAAAAATAAAAAAGCATGTCTGAAATTAATTGTAACCCCAAGCCGAGAAGACGAAGCGAACTGGAAGGGTAGTCTTTGGAAGACTGAAGAAAAATAAAAATCATGCAAAAGTAAAAGATTTAAGGCGAAAAGAGAAAAAAAAAAGAGAAGAAAATGAAGGTCGAAGAACATTGAAAAGTGAGGCAGAAAATAACAACATCAGCCATGAAATTGAGTCCGGGAGCATTTCGAAAAAGTTGGCATTTTAAAGATTTTAGAATTACTATATGAAAAAGTCTTATTAGGGACCAAATATTTAGGACAATTGGAAAATCTGGTGCCTAAATGTATATAAATAGTGTCAATATTATTTTCGCTAAATTGGCGAAGAGATTAAATCTGGTCAGTACAATTATATATATTTGGTCCCAAGTGTAAAATAAGCGGGAGACACCAGAGAGTGAGGCGCTAATCGAAATAACAATTAAATAAAAAATAACATTCCAATATAACCTCTTTGTATTATCGAATTAAACCTCTTGTTTGTCAAAGTTTGGTTCTTCAACTCCCTAAACCCTTTTCGATACACTCGATCTAACAATTCATGCTACTAACCCATGTAAGCCCTCTTGTTCCGGAGATAATATATGCAAAAACTTCCTAGAAACCTGATCTCCATTTGTTCCGTTGCTGATGATTTAGGCACGAAAACTACAAAAGAGATGTAAGTCCTTATATATCAAAAAAATTCTTCTCCACCCCCTCCCCCCCCCCCCCCC